AGGTTTGAATGTTTCTCAAAACTTCTGAATATATTTGATAAAACTCACAAAATAAAAGAAAAAATTCATTTTCTCGACTTAACTTCCATGATTGCTTGGTTTTCTACTGTTTCTATTCCACTTGAATAAAAGACATGTCTATTGGTTTTTGTTTCTTGAAAGCAAGTGAGGCAAAGCGTTAAATAATGACCAAAATGCCTTCATTTCGCTGATATTTTGTACATGGATACTTATTCGTATCTATAGTTACCTAACCCAGTATTTAAAATTTTTTTAACCACTTAAAAATGTCTGATAAAGGGGTGTGCTTTATTTATAAATCCGAAGACTATGTAAGTAATTGATCGACCCATACGTCAGAGCTTTCAAAACTGAAGACTGACTGAAAACAGATTGGATGAGATTTTTCTTAATATTTGAAAATGAGATAGAAATTCTGGTTTTAGATTTCTTGAATTCATCGACATGGTGGCATTTAATATTGATTTAAGTTCAACTTTAAAACCCTTTAATAGAGACAGCGATAGTTCAGGACGATGTGCGCTGGAAAGTCCATGAACTCGATTCAACAGGTTATCTATGATTCAACCTTATCACATACAATCCCAACGATTGGGTAACAAAGCCACAGTCACTTGGTCAAATAGAAGAAAAGATTAAGCTTCTGATATGTTGTTTACGGAGCAGTGTAGATCAGTCCGCCTTGGATCTCACCGCAATACTGCTTGGGGCCTTAATCCACCTCAAAGTCAATGAAGCCTATCATATGTTGCCTAATATGTTTAAAGATCCATACATTTTCGCTAAACCACAGAAGTTTTCCATTTTTGTTTTGAAAAGCTATTCACCAATGCACTAAAACTTCATTGCTTTGCGATAACTTGGTAATAATGGAATCATTTAAATCCTGTCAGTCTGTCTAATAATAAAAACCTCGAGACATCCAACATTACATAGTTTGCAGTTTAGTCTCGTTTTGTTTTTTTTGTTTGTGTATGAAAAGTTTGTGTTTTTCATGTTTTGAAAACGTATCATTCTTAATTTCATCTGAGCTTCTCAAAATTTATTTCTTTGTCTTATAGACTTACCATTTGAAACTGAATTTTCCGTCTTGTAAAATGGCTTTGGATACCTATTTAGTGTATCCATCGTCATTATCGTGGGTATTTCTTCATAAAATATCAGCAGTATCTTATTTATAGACATAAGAGTTTGGTACCATTCATGACCATCATTCAAGAAAATTATCATAAAATATAACACATATCTAATTGCTGCCACAAAAACCTCATCGCAGTATGATTTAGCACTTACCTTTTAATACTAAACTCGGTGCTACAGTGTAGTTTAGTTAGGGTTTTCCCAACATGCATTGTTGTAATTCACCAGTTCAGATGCAAAAGTAGTACTCACATAAAAAGTTACTTGAAACAGTTAGTGATGACTTGTACCTTACTTTAAGTTACATTTGAAAGATTTTTCTGTATACTGGAAACAATTTACCAAAGTTTTCGTAAATTCATAACAGCTTTATACTTTTTAAATTATATGGCTAAAAAGACTACCAAACATTTACATAGTTTTCACGTTTACCTTCAACTAAACATTAAAAGTAAGTTTCAAGCCTTCATCACCAGATTTTATATCCTTCCTGACAGATGTCTGGGGACAATAAAGCAAGCAACTAATGTTCTTGGAAACGATAAGCAGCTTCATTTTTGTCAAAATAATTTGTGTTCTGTGCATCCCATCTGTTGTTTTTGTTTATCGAGTCAGATCAAATACGTTAGTGACTATGTTTTTTTTAACTGGAGATCAAAGCAACGATTTTGTATTTGCGACCTAGCATGACATCTTGCAATCTTTACGTATCTCTGTTGAAGATTCTGTGTCTCAAATATATCGTACGTGATATAGAATCAATTTTAAATTCACACATCGATATGAAGTGGTTTTCTCTCAAACAACTTAACGCAATTTCATTGTATTAATTGAGTTACCGTGATTATGCGTTTGACTTCAATTTCTCAGTTTAATACAACTCCGCAACTAATGATCATTCGGTAACCAATTTATGATTTGAATGAACCCTAGTGCAATTCAATCCTTTTCAGGCCTCTTTCAGGATAAACTTGTTAACAAACGGAAACTTCTCACTCTAGTAAATAGGCGGGGAAGTAAGGGATAGAAATAATCGCACTCATTAAATTCAAGTCGGAGTTCTGAATAACTAGTTCAGCGCACAACTGTATCTGTTTGAGAAAAATCTCGAAGGTTATTTTGAAGAACACTGACGAATTGCATTTGAAATAATGCTGATAAGTGATACCTAAAGTAAAACAATATATCTTACGTTTTTACAACTTCTTACAGGTTTTACAGAGAAAAATGCATATGAGGCTGTTTGCTCATTCATATCTCCAGATTTTCTTTAGTTTAGTAAATTTCTGCTTGTTGTTACTTTTAGCTATTTGTCTTGCATAATGAGTTGAATCAGTCAGTTTGAAAAAATATTAGAAACTGACTCATTCAATAAACAATGTTTGAACCCGTGTTATAATACTCCTGGAAGAATTCCAAGTCCACAATATACCCAACACGTTCCTCCAATCCTATTTCGTAAACGTACTGAAAAAATTGATTGGAAACGCTTAGGTGAGTCTTTGTCCTGCTAAAATCACATATGTATGCATTCTTTAGGTGACATAATACTCAAAAGCGAAATTCAAGTTCTCTTGACCCAGAGCCTAGTTGTATTTAATTAACAAGTTATTTTATTACTTGTAGTTTTGGTATCTTTTTCTTCATATTTGATCAGTAAAAATGAGTAAAATTGTTTAATAAGCTCTATAAAATAATTAAGTAAATTGATTCTGGGCTTTTACTAATTATCATTGCCTCTGAATGTCGAAACATTTTTTCGTGAATCTCAGTTACATTTTTCTCTTTGTTTTCTATCCACAGCGTCGATTGATGTAAACCGTATAACAAAAGATGTAGATATTGAAAGCCTACAAGAAATATTATCGTCTGTCACATTCTGTGATATAACTAACGAAATAGTAAGTTGTGTACAAACGATCTTTTAGATAAACAACAAGCAATAATTTACTGATTGGTCCGAATCTATCAAAATATTTCTACAATTTAGTCGAACAGTTAGGGACTATGTTATTTTCGTTCAACATTCGTTACATACAATTATCTTGCTGTAGATCGGACATTTTAGCTACAGTTGATTCCCAACGTAACTTTGAAGTGACAAAAAAACCAGAGAATAGAAACTTCATTTCATTCTGACATGACCCAAAATTTCTAGTGGCCGATTGAGATTATCGTGTGGACTCCAACCAGGTAGTCTGCACCTACCACCACAGCTCAATGCAATAGTCATTGACTTCATGGACTAATGTTACTTTTTGATTCGGCTGCCCTTAACTTCATTCAGCCTACTACAGCGGAAATTGTACATCATAGTAGGTGGTAGTTGGTCATAAGTAACAAGTTTCTCAGCCTACTCAGTTGATGAAGATTCACAACTGCATCGACTAGTTTACTACACTTTGTTATCACCCTACTCCTAGAGTCAATATTTTTCATTCAGTTGTCCTACGATGACCGAGAAATGCTTCGAGAAAATTCATCCTCAAGAAATTACGCCTCAGAAATTTCCCCTACTTTTGAAACCCATGTTTCACATCTGTATAGTAATAACGAACACATAGTATACTTGTTCTTTCACTTGCTAACAGACATATCGCCTATCCCATGGGTGACGCGATTTGGCGAATTCCAAGTGAGCTTTCTGAATTCATGATAAAATTTTGTTAGATACTGACTCATCAGGATGAATGAAACCTCCAGTTTAGTTAAGGTGATAATTTGTTACAAAAAGTGTCTGTTCATCATTTTACCGAGGCGGTATCGAATCAACTAGGCTGTTGGTCAACGTCTTGATCTACTGTACAAAATATTTAATATTAACGTTATATCCAAAATTACATAAAACTGAAATGATTTTAAAGTTTAACAGAGTGGTTATGTCGCAATGACTTATTGTTCAAAATTGATCGTTCGCTAAAATTAATCTTAAATTCACTTAGACACTGATAACGGGCACATGCAGCTAGTCAGTGGGTTGTTTTTTCCCGAGAAACATACTAATAAATTAGTGGACGTGAATAGTCATTGCCGTTAATATAAATTTAATTTACGTAAATAAAAATCAAATTCATCTGTTCCGTTCGAAACATCTCCGTAAGTAGTTTTAATCAATTCTTCATTATTTATTAGTATAGGGTTATGGAGATTGTTGAGCTGTGAGATCATGGATTGATCAATGTTAGACCGCCATTGTAGACCTGCAATATCGTGGATTGGCTGAAATTAGACACTAACGCTGAACTGTGGATGCATACTGCTGAGGAGTCCATAATAGGGCGAAACGGCCATCCAGTGCTTCTAGGTCTTCAATGATGGTCTAACATTGATCGATTTATGAGCTCAATTACTCATTATTCGATAACTCATTATTTACTTGTCAATTTTATGGCATTACACGTACTACTTAAGTTTGTATATAAGTAGTATGTTTTATTATTTAATCATCCTTGTAACCGTATATATTTTTTATTATTTACTAGATGAAAATTATCTTATTTTATTTTTTTTTCAAACAGGATACACGTTATGTGGATAATAACTTGATAAAACTATTTCAACTTGCTCAACTTTTAGTTGAATATTTATTGGTAAGCAGTAGATTTACGAATACTAAGTCAGTTGTGTATTCAGATTCGACATCTTTAATATTATTAATTCAGAAGGAATTTCCTCATATTCACGCATAAACAAGCACTGAAGAACACAATTCCTAATTCAAGAGTCTTCTTTTTCTAAATATCTTTTAGTGTTTAAATAATACTTTAAAAAACATGAGGTCCAGTGAAGGGATCTCTTTTCAGCGAATTTGGTATCAAACTATACGATCGAATATATTTTTTTCCACAGTTTACTTCACAAGTCGATCTAAGCTAGACCACCAGTGGAAGCGTGGAATAACTGGATGTTGGCTTCGTCCTACGATCACGCATGTGGGACTCGAACCGAGGACCTTCTCTCATGCGTGAACGCTTAACCTCTAGACCACTGAGCCGGCATCCAACGGTATTAATGTTTAACTTCAATCTATCCATGATCTTACAAAACCCTTCATCCATTGCTTGAGATGGATAACTGTTTCACACTATACATGGATTGGATTCCATTGATCACGGCTGATCAGTAGAACTCCAGGAAATCTATCTCGATGCTAGTCACTAGTGAGCACATGACTATTATCAGTATGGGGATTTGTGGAGATTGTAGTATTTCCACACTTAAATTCATAAGTCGACCTAAGTTAGGAATTTTTTCAAGTATTTATCCAGTAAGGACCTATGAACAAAGAATGAGTATGATAATATAATATAAAGATTACAATATAAGATGATGTAATATTAATGATAACACTAAAAGATTGTGTGTGTGCAAATAAAAAGCCTTATAAAATTAATAAGTTAACAACGTAACTTGAATGGAGTAAGATAAACGTTTGAATAAACGAAATGAGAGGGAAATATTTTCAAATACGAAATAAAATAATAATAGTTTGAGGTTATGGTAAAGATAAGGTTTAGATGCACTTCATTTGTACGCACAGTTCTGGCTTCATTTCTTAGATGGCAAGAGCTGTTGTTTTAAGGAGTTAGATATGAAGAAATCTAGGTTGATTTGAACGATTTGTATAAACAACCTTAAAATTAACCTGTGGATTAGCGGAGTGATTAGAAATTTCATGCAATTGGTTCCCTTTATGAATTTAAATAAAGCAAGAACAAATATTGGTGCAGAATAGTATGAATTCATATTATTTCGAGGTTTCTCGTCAGCTGCTTACAAACCAAAAATGTTATAGAATTTTTACATTGAGATAGAGTGAAAACAATTGACATAGATGAGTGTAAATAACTGGGTTACAATAATAACTAATATATATATATATATATATATGCTAGAACAGGTCAGAGGTCAAAAGGAATTAATTCGGGTTGGAAGGTGTAATAATGGAATTAAATAATCATAAGATAGGTTACGTAATAATAATTAAATAGAATTTGAAAAGTTAAGATAATTTAAGAGGATCAGGTGGTGGAAATGTGTGAATAATAATGTGGTTTAAGTATTATGTAATAGGGGAGGAGTATAAATATTTTAAAGTAAATAAATAAAAAAATAAAATAAAAAAGGGTTACCAGGGTAGTGATAAGTTAATTAAAGTCTCTTTTTGAATGCATAAGTCAGGTTTAAGTTTTTTGATCATAATGGCTTCAGCAAAACGGAGGGTGGTCGTACTTCTTTGTCTATTGATAATTTTGAAAGCATGCGGAATGTCGATAGTGTGCCCAGTGTCAAGTAGATGTCGAGCTATTGTGCTGTTGAAAGCCTTAGTCCCTCGATTAGATGTTCAAGAATGGAGCTTCTAATTGCTTGATAATAAATTCGTTTAAAAGAGGTCTCTTTGCTGAACTTCTTATTTTTTTAATATTTAAATAGGAATTATAAATCTATTTGAAAAATATGTACATTTGACATTTATCCTAATGATCACACTAAATTTAGAACATTAGTGACGCTTAATGCGTGACTGTGATGAATATCTGAAGGTAGTTATTATTTTGAATTTCAACTTTTGAAAGCTAGAAAACCACACTTGAAATACATCATATTCTATCAAGATTGCAGTAAATCATCGACTTTAGGAAGCGTTTCTATTCAGTTTAACCGATGTTTGTTATACAAAATATTTTTAGTTAACCATTTCATTATCTTCCTGTTAATCTTAGAGAGAAATCTTCCACTTTTGTTTACATTTGATCGAATAGTTTTATAGTATTTGGGTGCCGAGTTAATCTGAGACATTAAGGAAGAATAATGCATTTGCAAAATCTCAGAAAATGAATTTAAAGTTAATTCAACATTTTGCCCTGATAATATTTGATAATTTTGATGTTTGAAAAAGCTTGGACCAAATTGCCAGTCGAAACGTTGAATTTACCTCAACGTCATTCGCTGAAAGTTTTACCAATATATTCTTCCTCTTTAATGTCTACTGATATTTGATAATAAGAAATGCGCAATTATTACAACCCTAATTCAAGGTTAATATTTTATCTTGTAGCATACTTTATCTTGCCTACTCCAAAAAATACATAGTTCTTATAAAAGAGCTAAAATGACAAATACATATCGTATTCACTATTCCATTGATTCTCATATAATTTACAAGATAACTTTCGTTAACATTTTTCATAATCCCATTAATTGTTAGATCACTCTAATTATCTGTAAATTTTCAATCTGATTAATCTATATTAAATATCCCTCAAGGAAAATAAGGTTATATTGATTTATACTAAATCAACTTAACTTATTACATAATAGGTTGTAAGATTTTCTTCAAGGTTTGTTAATTCATTAACCATCATAAATAATTCTACTTTATTTCAGTAAATATTAAGGAGTAAATCTGTTGTCATTTCTTTTTCTTTTTTGATATACATTATTAACATCCATTATTTTCCAAATAAGTTTTTCGGTGATATTCTGTTTAGACTATGTCCTTTCATATATACTTTGTATCTTTTTGTTATTTAGTACTCTCAAGATTATTTGACAACGACAATTGATTCACTTAAAGAAGAAAATAATGAACTTCACAAGGTAATTTATTCTGTTATCAAGAATAAGGGTTTGTAATTCCTCATTATCAATATTTAGTATTGCAATTAAACAATTTACGTTGTTATATGTTTACCTTAAGTGATACTGTTACTACATTTACTATTCTGGGATCTGATCAGACAATTTCTTCTTTCTGCTGAGATATGGGAATTTGAACCGATTTATATGCGTGTCAGGTTTTATGTTGCGACTAACTAACTGCCTTAAGTGAATGATATGGATATAGCCTTTTAGTCATGAATTATAGTATATCTAGTATATGACCACCAGTGGAATCAAAGAAGTTCAAGTGTCAACAAGTTAACCATTGATATAATAATTCCAGAAGCGAAATGTACTGGATTTGTCTCTCAGTTTTAATATTAACACCAGGATCAAGGGAGATTCAGTTGATAAGTCCCAAATAAGACAAAATCCACATAATTGATTCCACTGCTAACCATATACCAAATAAACTGAAATTTTGTTTTGCTATTTTACAGATTAATGCTACAACTAGCTCAAGGTTTCCTCTATCAGTGATGTTGAAATACTGAATTTCTTTTCATTGATTTATACAATCAGGCATCAAAAGTAAACCTTATAGATAGTGAAATAACATTCTTATTTATAAATCATCATATAGAATGTAATCTATAGCTCATCTGATAGTAATCTTTATTTGGGTGGATTTGAGTTCAAAATGTAATTATCATGCCACTTCATATTTGTCAGCTGAATCATATATCTCGACTATTGATTCGAAGTTAATTTAAACTTCCGATTTTAGTTGTCTTATCGTTTATTTCAAAAAAGATTTACATTTTCAGCAAGGATAGATAGTGTCTAGTAGTGGAATCTAGGACGCGCCTCTCGTCCTATTCGGGACTCGTCAGCTGGATTTACCTGCATCTCAGAGTTAATGTTTCGAACACCATCGCGTTATCCACTTAGCTACTGAGCCCTGATAGCCTATTGCTTGTGCAATGGGGTGAAGTTTAAATTCATTTTGTCTAGTTTGGTTGAATCTTTTGATTGATGTGAACACCAACTGTGGGATGCAGGTACATCCAATTGACCAGTCCTAGATAGGACAAAACACGCGCTCAGGATTCCACTGCTAGCCACCATCCATCTTTGCTTATAATATATGTGAATTAAGGCAATGTCAAGGCAATAGACACAGTATGTACATACGCCGATAAGAGAGTGATTAATTGCAGTTCTGAACATCAATGGGAAGATTCAAGTAAACAATACCAAGTGGAATTGCATTTTCATCTTATTATTAACTATTAAATCTAATTATGTCGTTAAAAACCTTTAATTTGAGATTTAATACTTATTTTATGAAATAAGGAAACAGATTTATGGTTCATTTTGAAGTAGAATTATTAAAAATGAATAAAATAAATTCCCTACTGATCACCGCTTTTTAGTTATATTGAACATTTTGATCTTACTGAGAAGTTGCCTCAGATGACGGTGCAAAACAAACCTTTTCTTCAAAAAAACCTCCATGATTTACAATAAAACAATATCAGAATGGGGTTTGTGGAGATTGTTGTGATTTTAATAGTTGAATTGATGAGTCGATTTAAACTAGATCACCATTGAAAACCTGGAAGTACTGGACAACCGTTTCGTTCTAGTATGGGACTCCTAAGTAGTGCGCATCCAAAATCCCGCACGCGGGACTCGAACCAAGGATCTCCGGTCTCACACGTGAACGCTTAACCTCTATACCACTGAGCCAGCATCCAATAGTGTTAGTGTCTAACCTCAATTTATTTATGACCTTGCATAACCCTTCATCCATTGTCTGAGGTCGATAACCGTCTCACACCCGACACGGATGAACTCCTCTAGTCACGTCTTCTCAGAAGAACTTCAGGAAACCTATCTTGAAAATAGTGACTGGTGAGCACATGGATTTCTTGTAGTTCTAGTGAGAAAACGTGACCAGTGGAGTCCATTCCGATTCAAGTTTAACATTAACACCAGAGCTGCCGGGTTTTCAATGGTAGTCTAGCTTAACTAATGAATTCAACTATTAAAATAAAATAATACTCATCGAGTAGTAACGTTACACAATTATACAATGACTCACTAATTATAAAATAACATTGAGTAGTTGAAAAAAAGAGAATTATACTCATCAAAGTGATAGTTCGAAAAACTAAGCAGTTGCTTCGTTGTATATTTATTTGCTCTATCTATTCTTTTTTTGCCAAATGTCAAAATGGGAATTTTCACCATATTAAAAAACATTTCATAAATTACTGTCAAATTTCTTCATCGGTATTTATTTTAGAATTGTGATAAATTAAAACACCAACTTCAAGAGAAAACAAATCGTCTTACAGCAACTCGTCGAGAATGTCATCGTCGACGTTTATTACTTATGGCTCAACAACAACTTATGGATTCTGGTCCACAATCATTACACAAATGTATCTACTGTCCTAAAGCTTTTGTAAATGCATCATTTCTAGCTACACATATTCATCGTCGACATCCAGAAACAGAGACTATGGATAGAAATACTCCAGTTTATGCAACACAACCATGTTTAATAACTAACAACACACCTTATCCACAAGTACAACAATCACAACAAATATATCAACAGTCTGATGATCACTATACAACGAATAATAATAACATGGTAAGTTTGAGAATTTGTCAAGTGTATTTTCAAAAAAGAAGATGTGTTCACTTTGATCCTGGATAATTTCTCTAAGCATAGCTGTAAAAAATAAATTACATTTTTATTGATATGTACTAATCACTTTGAAATCTTAGCTTACAGCATATATATGACTATAAAAGTCATTAAAGTCAAATGTAAATTAGTCTTAATATTTTTTTCAAAAACATGAATCTGTTCTGATGAAATGTCTATGAATAGATGTTTTTGGAAATTTTTAAAGTTTTATTTGTTTTCAAGTACCTAAATGGTAGCTCAGAAAAATAGGGAACACTTGACAAAGAAGTCACCAAGCTTAAAGAGCACAAATGAAAGCTGAGGTATGAATTGATTCCCTACATTGATTCCTTTTTTTTATACTTATTTTTACTGTTTCAGTAGATTGTTAACATTTAATTTTCTTATATGAAATAGTGGAGATTATATATGGCTCAAGATGAGGATATTGGCCGTGTTATGGTTTCTGAACCGGATAGTTTTGTTATAAAACTTTCATCGTTTTTCTGAACAACATTATCAACACGCACTTTAAAAGAGAAGTGACCTATTAGAATTTCTCCTCAACTGGCTAACAGCTTGTTAATGGATTTAACAGTCAATATGGAAAAGAAACAACAACTGTAAGGTTAGAGTTCAGGTTAATAGAGAAAATAACCAAACCAAGCATACGAAAAACGACCACATAGTTATGAATAACAACTAAACAAATCCCTGGTCAACAGAACAAGTCGTCAGTCAATCGTGAAGAAATCCTAATTAGTCACATCTATTTAAAGTACATACTGATGATTTTGTTTAGACCAATAACGAAGGCTCTAACAACCAAACCATCCATCTTATAAACCACAATATCAACAAATTTTCTTATATTTTTCACCGAAAATCTTTTTTAATTGGTTTTTTTTTCAGAGGTCATCTTTAGAACATGATGTGAGAGAGTTGCTAAACCAATTGAAATTGAATCCTCCAAATCTACCAAATAAACATCAGTCACCAACTAGATCGATTGGTTTTGATGGTGAACAAAATAAAAACAATGCAGATTGGCATACACAATTAATGGAAGAGCATAGAGTATGCAGAATCATTACTATTGTTTAATATTTCTTTTGCTATGTATTGGTTATATTTTTTAAATAATGTTAGAAACATACACTAGTCGATCTCCTGGTAATCGTTAGGATTGATTAAATTCTATCAATCAAATTGTACTACATTCAATAAATTACAAATGAGTTGACATTATGCTATAATAAGTTTTAATTTCAATCGTCTGGACAGATAATCGGTAGATCTACCACTACGGGATTTGAATCGACAACTGCATCTCTATGTTAATGTGGTATGGCAACTCGAACTGATGTACGTACGTACGAAGTTCTACGTTGTTACTGACTGACTGATAATCGGTAGATAGCTTTGTATCAATGTTTTGTGCTAGTTGACACTTGCCACTAACATGAATCTGTCCTGTTAAGTGAACTGATTTTTGATCACATATTACATATCACACCATCATCATCATCATTACAATTGTCATCGTAATGAAAACAGTAATAGTAATCTCATTTTCATAAAGTCGACAATTGTTGAACATAGTTAATACAAATATTTGTAGAATACAAATACTAGTAATAATTTAATATAATTTGACAATTGTTCTGTTGATTTATTTCATCATAATTTCTGAAGTTTAAAACACCAATACTCAACAACAACAACAACACCAAAAATACAATCACTGAGGTAGTTATCTTTACAAATCATTATTGAATTATGGTAACCGAATAAGATTTATCAAAGTATTTAGTATTATTACATAAAATATTTTTGTACACTTTTTTTCCTAGCGTGATATGGAATTAATGAGAAAAGGATTTGAGAAAGAACTTCACAATCTTCAAATTCAATATCATCAAACACAAGAAGAATTAAGTAAATTAAAATCCAGACCATGTGAGTTCAGCAGTATATAAATGATCATCGAAAATTTATTTTTTGTATTGCATTGATTGACGAGTTTTGATAGAGATTAATTTCATTGGTTGATAGTATTTTTCATAGATTGAATTTATTTGAAACAACATTGAAAACGATGTAGCATTGTACAGCTGTTTTCTTCTAGTATGAGACTACTAAGTAGTGTGCTCTTATAATCCTATCTGAAATTCTAGTAAGAAGTTATCACTGGTAGAATTCATGTTGGAAGTGAGATTTTTTTCCTCCACTGATTTCAACTAGTTGATTGTCGCGCCATATGTTGAATCAACTGAAGCTAAAAATACTCACCAGTAAATTCTAACTCAATTGTTCAATTAATAAACACTCTACGATAGCCAAAGGTTTTGGGTTAGATCTCTGGCGGGTTCTCGTTGATGGGTAGTGTCGAACAGTCTCATACAAAGATAAAATCGCTGTCCAATGCTTTCAGGTGTTTAATGGTATTCTAATTAAAGGCAATCAGTGACTGCTACTATATACATTTTATTATACTTTCATCATTAAGTGGTCACAAAGTTTTATCAGTAAGACGTTCTAATAGCCACCAAGACATATTAACCTTCCAAATAACTGTCTATAAAGTATTCGAAACTTAGAAGTCTCTAAATTGTAGTTAGTAAAAAAGTGGTCTTTTAATGGGCACCATCTTAAATGACAAATTAAAGTTTCAAAAGATAACTGGCCAGAAAGATTTGAATAATAAGACAGAGAATGAGCTTACCAGGTCTTTGAATAAGCTCAGGGACCAACAGACTACCTCGTCGGGTTTATATAAAATGATTAAACCAGTGGGAACCTATCTGCCGAGATTATATGGATTGCCAAAGGTACACAAACCAGGGATCCCATTAAGACCCATTCTAGATATGTATAACTCTCCTTACCATAATATAGCTAAATGGTTGGTAACTGTATTGAAACCTCTCCATGAAAAGCTTGTAAAACATAATGTTAAGGATGTATTCCAATTTGTTGACAAAATCGAAAATGCAAATACGTTGGGATAAAGATGATGTCATTGGATGCAACATCGTTATTTACAAACGTCCCACTCATAGAGACTGGAATACATAGGTGAACAACTGATTGAAAATGAAATTGAAACTACTGTTCCTATTAATGTCGTGAAAGAGTTATTACTCAAATGCATCATGAATGTGAATTTCAAGTTCAACAGTGAAATATATAGACAAACAGTTGGTGTTACAATGAGTTCACCACTGGGCCCTATACTAGCTGATATTTTTCTAGCCAAACCAGAAAATGGTCCATTAAAAAAGATTATTCAAAACTTCACATTTTACTATAGATATATGCATGACACGTTCATCCTCTGTAAAGATAATACGTCACAATAAGAGGTTCTTAGGCGATTTAATGAAGTATATCTAGCCATTCAGTTTACATCTGTTGAAGAGTGATGATCGAATAGCCATTTGGGACGTTTTCTTAACTGAGAGCGGATGGACCGTTAAAAAGAAACTTAAACAGAAAAAGTACATGGACTAGGCAGTATACGCATTTCCTTAGCTTTGTACCTCTACAGTACAAACGAAACTTGATCAAAACCCTTAGTTACCGTATATGCACTATATGTTCTGCTGATATAGTTGAAGATGAACTTAACGCCTTGCATAATATTATCAGGGAGAACGGTTACCCTAGAAAGTTTTTATTTAAATATATGATCACGAAGGCGAAAATAGGCGGAATGCAAACGGTGAAGAAGAAATCCCTGTTCATGCGTCTACAATTCAGAGGGGATGCGGCTAGTGAAATATTAACTCAGAGATTACGCAGGACAATACAAAAATCTTTTAACGCTGGAGAACTGCGATTAATGTTTCCTACGTGCCCAATGGTGACACCGAGGCTAAAAGATGAATTACCTAGAATGACCACCTCATTTTGTATTTATCAGTTCGGCTGCTCTTGTGGAGCGAGTTATATTGGTCGAAGTTCTAAGAATTTACATTTTCGTGCTCGTGAACACCTCCCAGTGTCGCTAAACAAAGGTTTGATGAAGAAAGTGAACAGCTCGATATTGGCCCATTTAGTACAAACTGGTCATAGCGCCAGTATAAACCAGTATTTTTCAAGTATTTATAAGGTCAGTAATTTTTTCCCAAAGCTTGTCAGACTTAAAGTCCTTGAAACGGCTGAAGCAGTAGCCATCCGGATGAAGAAACCGGAGCTATGCGTACAGAAGAAATATCTTCAACCACTCCTCCTCCCCTGGCCAACATCAAGTCCAATTAATCAATAGTAATCTTAGCTATTGAATGACCTAATTTGACTACGATTTTCCGTAGTCATTACTGTTGGTTAAACATCATTATTAATCGCCCCTATACATGATTCATTTACTTCGCATTTATCCCTCCTTATTACGTCTTACTAATTTTGCACACAATATAGCCTCCCACTAAACATTTGACCGAATTGTAATTGCACTATTACTTCTCTCACCCTATCTGACCCATCTTTATTCCGTTCATGGATCTTAAATTTCACTTAACATATACGCAGATTCAAGTTAGCATTCCATCTGAGTCATATCAACATTAACAATTTTATTGTATTTTGTTTAACAATCCTAAATTCACATACTTTAAACCATGTACATTGCCCTTAATCTGGCCATTTTTCGGATTATTAATTGGGATATATAATTGTAGAACCTGAAGAGAATTTATGGAAAAGAATATTCTTCGTCCAAATATTAGTCTTTTAATATGATGGGAATCTTTAAACGATTAAAGTTTTCTATGATGAAAATACCATTCCATGATGGTACGGATGTGTTATGTGTGGCGCACTCAGTCATGATGGAAGAAAATAATAACATAGCTGAAGGCGTACCTTTAACTAATTTTGTAATAAAAATTATTCGAAAATATCTACAACTGAATGACTAAACAAATGAAAACATTACCATACTTAGTAACTACGATACACTTCGATGATTTGACAGCATGGAGTTTATCCCTAGGGTTTATTAACGTCAACTAGTATTAAATGATGCCATATGTACTATGAAAGATATCTGCTTCTCTTTCAATAGTCCCTGTCATGTACATATTTTCATTCTATATGCTTCATTTCCATACATAACATAAAATTGATTTACATTTATTCATTTCTAAACGAATATCTTCTCTAATACAATAACCTTTGTAATAGTATTTTATTGTTTTCTTTCGAAAAAACGTTGAGTAATAGTTTTTACAATAATGTATATGCATCGATAGGATTGGTTTTATTGTTTCCTACTTGGATACAAAATATTAGCTTTTTTTCTGAATAATTAAACAGTTCAGTAATTCAAGATTATTTTGATTAATGGAAGTTGATGTGGAATGAGTTTAAATACTATATTTAATTGGGAACATTTATTCTGATGAATAATCTTAGCATTATTTGGTTTAATAGTCAACATACTCTACTCGGCCAGTAATAAATTTCAGGTTAGAACCCAACTCCATCTTACTTGGTTTAATCAACTGGATCGTAACGTTATCATTTTTTAAATTGAGAAATCTTTAATATTAAACCACTTACTAAACTTATACTTAAAGTGAATTAATTCACAATTCTCTTCAACTTTGTTTCATTGTCTCAATACTTTTATTGTTATTTTCAGCTATTTCTAATTTAGGCGAATTAGAAAATGATATGTCTGGAGTAAGTTTTTAATACTACATTTTGTTATAATATGATGCATTTGTTAAAAGAAATCTATTAAATCATTTTTAAAAAAAATAACTGAGAATAGCTGGACGAAGAAAGTTCTTTTTTAAATGATTTCATTTTCTTGAGCTGTACAATAGTATTTACAAGTGATTTTCGTATATAAAATAGTCTGTAATAAGATAAAGGAGTGTTACACTATTAGACAAAATTGTCGTAATACTTCAACTTTCTGAAGTACTCTTCACTTATTACGTAATCGTTTTCATCGTTACCATTGTCTTATAAACTATTTTGATTGGTTTAATAATTCCGTATATGCATATTAATATTATTGGATATTAGAGTAAAGCCTGATGAGGATCTAATCGACAACAATATTGTTCGCTTATATATGTTGTTCTAAATTTACAATATGGGAGTATTTCACATTTTGATTACACAATTACTCATAACGTTGCCATATTTAAGCATGTTTGTAGAGAGTTCTAAAAGATCAAGGTCATGTGAAACTATAAACATACTATTTTCTGTACCTAATTAACCTTAGACTAATGCTCTTACTCAGACATTGCGCTTGTTCTCTGTTGTTCGAATAAAAGTGTAAAAGTAGTTTGTAGTTATACAAAGTGTCTTGGAAAATCAGTAGTAAGCGCTCTAGTAACAGACCTATCGTAAATTAAATTAATATTTAACAGAACGTATATGTATTTCCAATAAGACTTGTAAGTTCTGTTTATTCCCCTGAATTAATTAGAAATTTCTACCTTTATTGGTTAATCGTTACTCTAAAACTATTACAGAATTGATTCAGACAGTTTATCATAAATATGTTGTTTATAAACAATTGAACAGTTATTCTCTCTTTTTTTGGAATTAATGATTATTATCAAATATTTAATAATGAACGTTTTATTATATAAACTTAATTAAAACACTTAATTTTCCACCGTCTAAAGCGATTGACTCTCTTTCTCTGTCTAAAAATGGTCATCAACACGATTATCTATGTAAGTAAAGATGGATGGTGGCTAGTAGTAGAAGTCAAGACACGCGTTCCATGCTTTTGGGGACTCGTCAGTTGATGTATCAAAATCCCAGAGTTGATGTTCACTCCGAGACTCTCTATATGATAAAAACAGAATATATGTATAATATTATTTTGATATGTTATAGATTCTGACGAAAAATAGAGAAATTAAAGGAAGAGATAAGATTATCGTTAGAAAGTTCATTTGTCTGTCGTTTATTAATTCTCATGTATCGTTATTATTTTTTGGCATAGACTTGATCATATACATAGAAAATAACTAAAGTCAATTATTTTTATTAATGAAAATGAATAATCTAAAGATTTATTTAGTTCTTTATAACAGTCATTTCATACAACTGTATGTATAAGCGCAGTTATAGATAAAGTTTTCCAAGAGATATTCACAATAATGTTACACTACTGATTGTTTGAAAGTAATCAGATTTCTTACCTAAATTACAGTTGTAATGGCTAACTTCAGTAGTATGTTAAATAACGATTTTATTTGTCACATATACATGAGCTATATAATTATGCTTTACCGACTGATTTTAATGTATTTCATGTAATAATCATATGGTCTAAAATACTACTTACAAAAGCTTATAAATATACAATATATGGTTATGGGAACATCAGTCACGGTCATTACTTGTGTTAAAATTCAGTTCTATTCTCTAGTAAACAAAATACAAATATGTTTAAATGTTATGTGATTTCTTTTATTAACATTTCCTTTCAATATCTCTCTTCGTTTCATTTGTTTTCCAATGTAGTTTGCTTGCAGTATTTTGTATTGAATGTCAGTACTGGGACTCCTTTTTTCTGAACATAATTCTACAGTTATAATTGTTTATTTAGACGTTGTCTATAACACTCGATATTTTACAATATTTTCAAAAAAAACCGATTTATTAATATCATTTTTGTTTTATTTATTAGCCTGTATTTCGACCAAATCGAGCAAAATCAGCTAATACAACACTAAGGCAGTCGACTAAAAATTATAATGTTGAGCAAGGTGAAACAAGTTCCCGTCATAGTTTACCCATTGATGATGATAAACAGTCAAATACTCATGTCTCAATTATTTCCGGACCAACAACAAGATTCTTAAGACCACCTTATTCATTGAAACCACAATTTAGTGATACAATAAATCATGATGATAAAGATGAATCGGAAGCACAACAAGTTTCTCGGGCAATGGGACGTGTATTAACTGCTTCAGGGGGTACAAGTAAGTAATTCTTAAATTACTAAATTATAATTTGTCGGCAAACATTTAAGAAAGGTATAAATTCTTTCTTTAACTATCTCTCAATTATAATTCTACTAAGAATGGATTGATTTCATGAATATAGATTGAAAAAAAGTAAACTTAAGTTTATCATTGTGTTTTGTAATTCAAAACTTGGAATATTAAGTTCTGTTATTTGAAGAATCATAGATAAATTTTTTAAAAATTGCTGTTAGTTATTCACGAGCTCCCTCATTACAATCGATTCCATTTGAACCGCCAAATGTCCTGGTACGACCGAGAGTGGGGAGAGTCCGTTCTCCCACATGGTCACTGTCAGAGAAGTCCTACTCACTGCGTCTGACGTGTTGATGACGAAGTTGAGGGGACGGAAAGCGAATACCTGGCACTTTAACCGGGTTGGTGGATATGGAGGACCCACCTAGGGGAGTTGGAAAATCTTGATTCCAAACCAACGGTGCACACGGGCTCTAAGATCCTGAGGGGAAAAATGGTGTATGAACCTATTATTGGTCACCGGCTACCATGTAACTGCATCTCCTAACGTTGCTCCACCACCTTGTGGAATACACTTTTGAGTCAAAGGTTCGGAGTGTGGCCCACTAAGAAAATCACTTGTTTCGCTGTGGGCGACCGAGCAGTATTTCAGCCCTCACACGAATCAAATGATTTATGTGGCGCATATATATTTTGTACTTCATTGTACCAGTATTTGTATTTATATAAGTAAAACAGGGATGAACATTACTTTATTGTATGTTGAAGTTGAAAATCTTAAATTATTTTATTGATTCAATTATTAAATGGTTCATCATTAACCGACAATTGTTTTTAATATTCTTTGAAATTCAATTAACAATTACATATTTCATTCAATTAGTTTGCCAGTTTTTTTTAAAATTCAAATTTCATACATCACTTTTGACATAAAGTATAAGTTAATGTGTTAGAGGTGATTGGTGTTAGCCTGACCTAGGTTTCATGCTAGTTAGCACTTGTTAGTGAGTCGTACCTATAGCCTTCAGGAAATTGATATTTCGTGTCTACATATTCACAGTTTGAGATATAAATACTGAGCTATTAAGCTTGAAATCCAGAACCAGTGTTTCTTCAAGACTACTATTTAACATCAAACATAGTTACCCAGACTAACCGTCACATTATAAATTAATTAATAATAATTTATCAATACTAAAGACTATACAAACATTACATTGATCTCTACCTAGTGATCAGCCAATATAAATAAGTTGATATCTTTACTTTCTGTTAGAATTATATCTATGAAAGAAAACTAAAACTAAATAATACATGATTCTTGTTATGTAATTTCAATAATACTAATTTATTAATACACCTATTTATTACCCATTATCATTCATTTATTTAATCACTTATTTTATTTGTTTAAGGTCCAACACCAAGTTTAAATGCAAGTACAAATATGTTACGGTACAGTCGTTTATTAGATCAATTACGTGGTGATCCAGAAACTTTAAGGAAACTACGTCATGAAGTTGAACAATTATTATTAGAACAATTAAATGAACATGGAATTAAATCAGATCAACGTCGTTTATCTACAAATCAACTTAATCAAAAACTAACTATTTTACATAAGGAAAGAGAAAATCTAGCTAGAAAGCATCGAAATTTTATGGAAATACGAGATGTATGTTTTATGATAATGTTTCTTTCTACTAGAATTTTTTTGATTAACAGATTTAAGTACCAGAAGGGGTTTCGTGAACATTATAGTAATTTCAATGGCTGAGATCATGAGTCAGTTAAAGCTAGACCACCATGGAAAATCTGGAAGCACTGCTGACGAAACGGCCGTCCAGTGCTTCCAGGTTTTCCACGGTGGTCTAGCTTCAACTGACTCATGACCTCAACCACTGAGATTGAAGTACATTTAAAATTGTCATATCGATTGTATTCAAATTAGTAAGAAGCCGTGACCAATAGAATTCAATCCATGTCGATTGTAAAATAAGTTATCCACCTCAGGTAATAGATGAGAGTGAATCATTATCATGAATTGATTAAAGTTAGACGTTAACATTGTTGAGTACCGGCCTAGTGTTTAGGGTCTAAGTATTCGAGAACAAGACTGAAAGTCCTGGCGTCGATTACTGGTTGCGGAGTATTGAATGAGGAGTTTCATGCTAGGACAAAACAACCATCCAGTGCTCCCAGGTCTTTAGTAGTGGTCAATATGATTTAAAACTGAATGATCTGTTGCTATTCGGACAGATGATATTTCATTATTTTCATTTTCAATGAACTGATGTATTAATTATAGGAACGTTTATTTCACTACCAGATCATCAATTCTTAAAATAAACCATTGTGGTAGGTACGAACCTATTGGTTAGAATCTGAAGAATAATCGTAATTCATTTCGGAAGATATTAGGTGAAATATCTTTTATTCAATATTAGTACTACATTTACATTCATTATTGATCTTTATCGAAATCTAGATTATAGTTTCATCCGATACTTTTCATTATTTGATTTTATTTGTTCCGTTTGCATTATAATTCTTATATTTTGCTTCCTCTCTTTCCACCTTACGGACTCCCTCTTTCTCGGTGAAATGTAGTAACTTGGATATATATGTATTCTTTTCCGGTCTCAAGTTGAGTGTAATTGACTGACACTGACTTTAGTCTGTTATAGAATTTATTAAAATGAATTTATTAGATAGTAGATCACAGCGATCAACACAAACTTATTTCATTCAAATGTGATTACTTGATAACTTTTGTAAATAAAATTTATTCTATTCTCAACTAATTTACTGTAGTTGGATATATAAATAACCATTTAAAGTTCCTACAGCAAAAATGTAGCGCAGTGAGATGCTTTGATGTTTCATCAAAATATCCATAATAAATTTGTTTAATAATTTTAGGCATTAAGTCAACATGTTGATCGTTTAGCGCATGCTGCACTCCGTGGTAGTACAATCAGTATTCCAGAAGCAAGACTACGTGCAGAGAATATTCATAAAATGAATTCATCCTACAAACCTGGTTTGCCTCCTCCAGCATCACACAGTCCCGGTAGTTTACGTAGAGCTGGAACTCTTCCATTAGCTTCACAAAGAGTTGATATTACATCTAACTTAGGAGTATCTTTACCAATATTATCTGTAAATAATGAAATTAGAAGAAGTCAATCTACCATGACAGGAATGATAAATTCACCAAGTAAAAAAGGAACAGGATTCTCTGAAGCAAAGTAAACATGTTTTTTAACCTCTTTTTGTTGTGTTACAGTAATTTACGTTGATCATTTATTCACTTGAAATTTTAAAACATTTTATTTATTCACTATTGGGCAAGTCATATTCCAGTTGAGTGCTTTACTCGCTGATTAACTGCTAAGTCTTGAAGTTCTTCACGTCATCCATTTTTTAATCGAATGAAGAACCACAATTTTTTTGTATACCTTGATCTCTTTGACGGTAACAATTTCTGAAGCTGTACAATCGTGTTTATAGGTATTTTTTTACATGTAATAGTCTATAGTGAAACAGTAGAGTTTTACAAACTTATCAAAGATAGTTAAGGTGGAAGTCAATAAAAATGAATCGGCGTTGCATAGCAGAGTCAAGATTATCAAAAGATTTCAAGTATTAAGTATAATAATTTATCAATGGAAGAATGTTTTTACAATGCAATTCAACTTTTTAAGTATTGAATAAAAAGGATTGTATTATTTAGCAAAGTAATCAAAGATCATCGACAGCTTACGTTATGTAATAGTTTTCGAGGTAATAAAAGGTGAAATCTATGGAATAAAGAATAATGATAACCGACTACTTAAGAAAGGAATAAAAAAAGAAAAGGGCAATATATTGTAAAATTCGAAGGGGTGCTAAGATCATGGGGGAATAAGTGATTGAACGTGACTCTTCTGTACACAGAGTTTTGTGTTTAGAATGTTGAATTGCTATAATCTGAGCTGTGCAAAAAATTCTTTTGGAGCCAGTTCTTTTTGCTTTTTAGAAGATTTTGAACGGAGATTCACATGGTGGGGTGTTATTTGAATTACTCACGTGTTCGTGAACTGAGCTGTTGTTTTATTTGTGTTGTCCTTTAGATAACCATTCAGGGTGGTGCTCGGATATTCGTTTACCACGTGGATGCTTTGTACGCCTAGTATAATCTAATCCACAACAGCAAGTAAACTGGTAGATACACATTGAGATGGCCCAAAGCGTCAGTTTATCCTTGAAGCTTCCCTGAATGAGTTTATTGCCGGCGAAAATAGTTCGTAACTCTGCTTAATAAAATGTCCTTAAGGATCTGGATAGTCCTTTCATCAATATATCAGCTTCCGTATCTTCCTAGGATTCGATTTTCAAGAATAAAACTTTCCTTGTGACCTTGGATTTACTTTGAACTTAACGTTACAGTTTTAGATTACTGCCAGTGAGCGTGGGTGGAAAGAGATTCTCTAGAATAGTTCGTCGGATTATATTCAGATCATCGTCAGTAGTCTTCAATGCATATTCGTCCGGCTCTTGAGGATAGAGAATAAATCAAACTTCTCTTCCTGATCAGTGGCACCCAACTCTGGAAGTTCGTACACTGTCCGTTTTAGGTTGGCTTTCTGTATAATTATTATTACTCAATACTTGAAATCTTTTCATTATTTTGAGATATTACTTCATTTTCGTTGACTTCCAGCTGAATACGTTTGACTATCTTTGTTAATGCTGTAAAACTACTCTGTTTTACTACAGACTACTAGATTTTAAGATTATCTATAAGTACGATTGTACAGCTTCAGGAAATGACATAATCGAAAAGAATGTTTTCTTTGCTAAAATGTATCCATTTTTTTCACAACGAATCAACTTACTTTGTTCGTTTTTTTAACCAAATCTATTTTCAAAAATACAAAATTATATTAGGAACAAACCACCTAACTTCTAAACTATTTTCTAATATTTTCTAACAATGAACTTGCAGAAACCAAAAACGCAATAAATACAATATCTTAGAACATCAGAAACAACAATAACATTTCTTAGTTTCATTTAATTTAGCTTAGTCGACACACTATTATGACATTAGTTGGCAAATCGTATAACAGTAGTCAATAGGTCCAATGGAAGTTTATAACAAAACGAATATGAATATACATATGATTTAGTTACTTGACAGTTATCTAATAGGAATATATGTAATAATGCTCCACAAATAATCCTTAACAGTCACCATTCATTTATTCTTCGTTCGGATGTAACAAACATGATGACCAAGAGTCAAATTAAACTATAACCGTGTTACAAATGATCAGAATACATCAATGCAAGTCAACTAAACTAAGAAAACTCACGCCATGGAAATGTTTCTTTCATCAATCATTTTGTTGCTTGAACTAATGAAGAGTAAAATTATGTTATTTCTCTTCACTTAGACCACGTTTACAAAGATCAAGTCCTCAACTTCAATTTGTTTCAGAAGAAAGTAATTTTGGCAGTAAATTAGCACCAACCATGTTTAAACAGAATCCTACAAATGAATCACAATTACAAATGACTTCTCAAAAATATCCCAACTGTCTACATAACAGTAATAATGATAATAATAATTATAATAATAACAATGGTACTATTCAACAAAAACAAATCACATCTAATTCACCTGAGATTCATTTCAGTCATGATCAACGAGTTGTGACATTTGGTACAAAACCAAATACTACTAATACTACTAGTAATTTATCAGTTGTGCCGAGCAGTGAGGATGATGAATGGGATTCAGAAACGGAAGATTTAAATATTGTTGCAGCTGAAATTAACAAATCTCAACAGTAAGCACAATTGGTATTTACTTCAATGCGTAATTAAGTAGTATTGTAAATCGTGCTAAATAATCGTTTTGATTTCCGTTAATTATACAAATTGAATAGTTGAAATCATGAGTCATTTGAATCTAGACCACCATGGAAAAGCTGTAAGCACTGGGCGGTCTTATCGTCCTAGTTTGAGAATCTTCAGCAGTGCTCATCCACGATCCCACATCTCGAGATTAGAACTATAATATCCACAAACACCTCTCTCTTATTATAATTATACAAATGAGATTATTTTCAACTATCATTTTATCGAAATTAAATGATAGTTGAAAATATCTCTGAAATGGAGTTAATTTGTTCTAACGAGGGCAGGATAGTGATGTTTAGTGTTCCTAAGTTGGAAATACTCCGAATTCTTATCGTTTTGGGAATTACAGACAAATAACTATCACTAATATAAAACAAATTTATGATAATAAATATTAAGTTTTGTTTATTTCAGTGGAGTGTGAAAATGCAACATCCATTCCGCGATTACGTAATTACACATTTACATGAATATAGACTAGATGATAAAGAAAATGCTCATGATTACTTCTCACTGTTCAATGTAAATAATCACAATCACGAATTACGAAATACATGTTATTTGTAATATTGGAAGAAATTTAATAACTCGGACACTTCAACGATCCATATATCTATTCATGTTTTATGAATGAAGATTTGGGAAGATATTCTTGAATAGTCTAAAATCCATCTGCATTAAGATGACTGGATTCGATGAGTCGGATTGTGCTGGAGTTATCACTCTAGATAAGTTGAAATTAAAATCCACTTCGTTTGATGTTAAGTGGTTAGTTAGCGTGAATTTCTCAATCGTACAGGAGATTGTTTGTCCTGTAAATATTTCAGTGCTCTTATCTCTGTTTGTAACTACCGATTCAAGTTATCAGCCTGCTGGAAGACCTAGTTCCTAAGAGATTACTGACACACCGTACTGACTAATGCTAACTAGAATCAAATAATTGTCCCGATACTTTCTATTAACTACCCCCGAACTCCTAATATTCACCTATTTCTTCTACTTCATTTCTAATGTTTTACATATTTACTTTTGTTTTCCATGTAAAGATTAACACGGGGATCATCAAATAAACTAACAAATCCCCTAAAACCAATAACATCCTATTATAAATCAAATCACAGTATCAATAATAGTTCTATGCAACAGAAAAACAACAGTCCTCAAGGAGTAAAGTTCACTTCATATAAAAATCCAAATTTAAAAACTGGTTAGTTTCAAATTTTGTAATTTGATTTATGAGTAGTATCTCTCTTGATTTTTTACAAACTTTTCTAGAGATTAATGCTATAAATCTTCATTTAGATCTTCATAGATCTATTATTGTATCATGAAACCTGTTTGCACACATTTCATCATAAAGTCGATTAGTCGTTACACACACTTGAAATTCTTTTTTTTTGTCTAAACACCTTTTTCATCTTATTTCTAATAAGTTTTCATAAATTTATCACCATTTATGTCTAGTTTATAAAAGCGATGGATCAAAGGAAGTAACCGCCAAAACTTAACTAATGGAGGTTTTCACAATTATGTATAGAAAAATATTTCATTACATTAATTATTTTTATCTCGGATGATAAATAAATCTGAAATTTTATCTCATTCCTTATAATTTTCGGTGGGTTTTTTTCAGTTGATGTTATATTTCGATAAGAACAGACCTCTCGGAGTTTGCACAAAGCTACTAAACCAATGAATTATTGTTTCTTTTCTTTTGTAACGATACAACGAATTTACACATCATTGAATTGGCAAACAGATTAAGAGGAAAACAATGAAGGCACTGTGATCTAGCGAAAAGAAAATTGTTTTGATTTTAAGAAATATATATATGTATATATATATATATATACCTCAGTTTTACAGTCTTACTTTCATTGTTTTATAGATGATGAAGATATATTCAGCGTATCATCAATCAACGGTGGTTTAGCCGAAGATAATAGCTTATCTTTAGCCCAAGAATTATCGCCGAGACATTCAGTTAGAGTTAGTCGGTCTTTGGATCCGAGCGTAGCAGCAGCACACGCAGAAATGGCTGCATTAGGTCCTAGGCCAACTACCAGAGTAGGTGGAGTGAGTAGGCAACCAATTACTGCAAAGCACACATCAATCGGAAGCCCAGAATTAAGCAACACCATGGTAACTAGTCTCTGGGGTACTAATTCTAAAGGTAAGTAAGAAAGAAGTGGTATTTTCTGCGATCCCAGTATTCTGATTATGTTCATAGCTTTAAAAATAGTCTATTTTAGGAAGTAACAAGTTTAAGTATAAGCTTATAGATGAACCACATCTCTCATAATCTACTGCTACAAGCTGTATAATCAATTATTACTGAATACGTCCGTTTGTTAATTCAGAATTCCGAATAATGGAAATAACGCTTTCAGTATGGAAGGTGGTTAGCAGTGGAATCTAGGAGTCTCTTTTCGTCCCGTTTGGGATTTTTCAGTTAGGTGCACCTACATCTCAGAATTGATGCTCACTCCGTGTCTCCTACTCAATACCGCTCGATCAAAATTCCAACGCGTTGTTCTCTTAGCTACTGAGTTCATATAGCCAATGCCTTGTTCAATTGGGTGAACTTCAATAAATTTGTATTGGTTGATTGAGTCTTCCCACTAATATTGACGACTTTCATTGATCGATCTCCAAATAGGATGAAATGCGCGTCCTAAATTCCACTGTTAGCCACCATCAATCTCTGTTTATAATACCTGTGACTTCTTGGTATATTCAGATAATCTGCACGGAATGCACATATACCAAAAAGAGACTCAAGCAACCAGTAAAAATGAATTAATGCTTAGTGTATTTTGAAATCCTAGTGATATTAAAAAGACAAACATGATCTTTTATCTTACGTAATTATTCTTCTGATTGTGTTGCTAGCATGATTATATGAAAGATAGTCTGTATTACTGAAAATAATAATCCACTATATGTATATAAGTCCGTCATATTGAACGATTTAGTAAAGTGTTGTATTCTCAGAAACTAACTAGTTTTCATAAACATTGCCAAATATCTAAAGCTTCATCCCATTCTATAAAGACATTATCACCAGTTTCAGACAAAATATGATACGAATTGCATTGATTCTTATATAAGAAAACTATGCAAATAATCAATAAGGATGTAAGATGCGAATCTAATTTTCCGGCATCCGTGTTTGTGAGTAGTTAACATTTTAAAGATTTTCACATGCTTGACTATCCTTAAAGAGACTCAGTTATTTGTCTACTCTATAAACTAATTATTTATGCCCTAATGGTGGCCCAAATGAGTACATAATTGCTTCAGAATAATGATAGCTTTAGATTAAATTGAATTCAACTGAAGTTGGAGAAAACAATCTGTCTGATAAAACTTCAATCATTGAACTCATTTCAACAATGAACTAAATAATTAAGATTAGAATTCACCGGATTTTACAGCTTAATTTCATCATCATCATAATAATAATTTTTCTTTATCGTTAAAAGTGAAATTCAGCCTATTGAACTTAATTTTGTTCAATGATGTTTAACGTGTGAATTCCATATGCATTTTAGCCGCAAGTCCAATTACTAATGTGATCTCTGTGGCCAGATCTGATGGTGCCTACGATGAGTTCGATTCAGACGATTGACTTTTCAAAGGGATTTCATGAGAACAGTTTCACTCTCTGTCTTTCTAATGAACATTCAGGTATTTCTAAAAACAAGTTCATATTTTTGTCAAAACTGCATAAATACGTTTGTCCGAACAAGCGTTTATGCGTGGAAATTCAATACGTGCATGGAACTGTGATTCTTTCGAAAAATGTGCTTTTTTTGTGATATTGATATATCTCATTGTGGTTGTTTGTTTCTCTTCTAGATTCTGTCTTCCATTTACTTAATTCTCCATTGTCATTCTATATGTTTCGCTTCTTATACATTCTGTTGTTAAAATATTTGTTACGTCCCATTATTTATTCTATATTCGTCAGATTGATGTACGGTATAATCCATAAAGGAAAACCAATAAATAGGACTAACAAGTAATCATTGAAATGAAAATTCCTTTTCTTAGCGCTTACTGTTTAGTTCTGTTGTTCTATTTACGATTTATCACATTAGTTTACATTGACTCATTATCTTTAACATAATACTCTTTCCCACATATGAATGAATAATTAAAAACAACCATGTAACCATGTTAGAAATTAGTTTTCTTTCGCAAATTAAACTGAGTATATCATTTTAGGTAGTGTTTACTATTAGCAAGTTACTAGTGGATTATTATTAGTATTATTATTATTATTACTATTTATTATTATTATTATTATTAATACTAATATATTTCATTCATTATTTTTATTGTGATCGAGATTTGCTTTACTATTGTCTAGGCTAATAATTTACGTGTTAGTACTGTGTTTTGTTTCTAACACTAAGTAGACTTGAATGAAAGAGATCTTCCATCCTCTATGTTTCATTCATTTTCAAACTAGAATGTGTGTTGTTTCACAGGAATTACAATCACTTAGAAATAAGTACAAGCATTTAACTGATAAATTATTTTAAACTAATGATGAAATCATTTTATGTGTATCCGTTTCTGTTTAAGTGAATTTGAATGAATGATTATAGTTGTATGTATATTTCTACAGTATAGTCTTGATAAAGTTTTGATCATTCAATATTTTGGTGGAGTAGTAAGCAATTTATCTGAAGTATTTCTGTAAAAGATTGTTGTGTGAGATTCGCATAAATCACTGAATCTTGATATAGAAATTTATTGATGTTGATTAGCATGACGTTTACGCAAGCGACAAAATTCATGATTTCATTTACATTGAAATGCATGTTGATTGTTCTTTAAGTGATTCGTCTAGAGAATATACCAAACTCCATGACCGTTAGCATTTCTTATTGCATGTCAATAAAATGTTCGAGAATACTTAAAATTTGGTCTCAATATCTAGTTCATCAGGAAGAAATAAAGTGCTCAGTTACTATGAATACTGCCATTATTTTGTGAGGATATCACTGAGTTTTCCCAATACTTCGAAATAATGAGCAGTGAGAAAAACGCAGCATCTCTTTGGGTTTGCTGACAAAGTAGCAATGAAAGAGATAATAATCAACTTATTACCACATCGGTAAATTCATGGGTCTCACCGAACCACACTACGGCGAACCAGATCAATCATTTTGCATCTCTAACAAATTCAGATCAATGGAAGACGTGAGAACTAAGAGAGAGAGGGGCCTATATAACTTCAGATCGAGACCCTGCTCGGGATTCAAGAAAGAAAGAAAGAAAGAACAAAAAGACAGCAATTAACAACAGTCGAACAGGAACAGAGAAATCCAAGGTACAGACCAAATACGCAGAAGCGAACAAGCAAGTGAAGATGAGCATGAGACTTGACAAACAGAAATACGTGGAAGACCTAGCAACGGCAGTGGACAAAGCTGCAACAGAAGGATATATCAGAAAAGTATATGATATAACGAATAAACTGGTAGGGTAATATAGTAAACCATAACAACCAATCAAGGACGAAGAAGGCAAGCCAATCAGTGCGGTTCAAGAATGGTGGAACAGGTGGATTGAACAATTTGGAGAGCTCTTCAACAGATCAGCTCATAGAACACACTGTACATCGATGCAACACACATACAGACCTTCCTATAGATCTCACTCCACCTACAATCGAAGAAATCAGGATGAACGCCAGACAAATCAAGTGTGAAAAATCAGTTGGATCTGACAACATATCAGACGGAGCATTGAAGTCAGACATAGAAGTAACTGCAAGCATGTCCAATGTTCTATTTAGGACGATCTGTGAAGAGAATTAAGTCTAACAGGCTGAAAAAAATGATATTTAATCGAGATCCCAAGGAAGTAGATCTAAGCAGGTGTGAAAACTGCAGAAGCAGCACACTACTATCAGTACCAGAAAACGTTTTCAACAGAATGTTGTCAAACCGAACCAAAGATTCGTTAAACACATAATTTCAAGATGAACAGGTCGGATTCCGTACGAATTATTATTATTTGTTGACCTTGATCACGCTGACATGTCACTTAATAAATATTATATCTAATACAACTGTACTGTCAAGTACCATGTCAAGCTAAAAACGGGTTATTTTAACTTGCGGAATGTCCAGTTTATTCGTCCATCTTGAGTCACACTTTGACCTGGCCAATTATTCTCTCACAAAACTTGACTGCCTTTATATGAGCGTACGTGTGTGTGTTGCTTATCCTACCCATCACATGTCTGTAGCTTATTTTTGTCTTGCTATAAATATTGAGTCACGCTTTATTAAAGGGAGTTGACACACTTACCTTTCCTACTTTTCATTATGAATGTCTATCTGGATCAACGAGTGCTTAGAATGAATTCATCTAACGCAACCCATAATTGACTTCTTATTACCGCCGTCACACAAACAGGGTAAGGCTATATAATAGACGGAGTTAAATGTCAGATTTATATTTGTAGCATATTCATACGTTCATCCATATCGGAGTCAAATTAACAGGCCACAAACTACTAACTGTTCTAGAAGTACTGTTGTTTTCATTTTTACAACTACATTGATACTGATTTTTCTCTATACTAATAATTAACGTTTTGTATTGTTGTACTTTCAGTGTTAAATATACTTAAATTAATTAGAGACTTCATATTTCTTCCGCTCCTTTGATCTTAAATTAAATACAAACGGAATCTATTTTTGTTCACAAGAACTACGATGACGTAGAAATAAGTACAAGTATTTAACTGATAAATTATTTTAAACTAATGATGAAGTCATTTTATGTGTATCCGTTTCTGTTTAAGTGAATTTGAATGAATGATTATAGTTGTATGTATATTTCTACAGTATAGTCTTGATAAAGTTTTGATGGTATAGTTAGGAATTGCTATTAGGCATTTTTTAAAAGATTGTTGTGTGAGATTCGCATAAATCACTGAATCTTGATATAAAAGTTCATTGGTGTTGGTTATCAATTTGTTTCCTGTGCCCAAAATATGAAGAAGTATGTTTCGAAGTTGGTCTCATCGAAATCAGGTTTTCCAGAAAAGAATAGTGCTCAATTATTAGGAATACTGCTGTTATTCTTAACTTGATCAGCTGGTGGCAAGATTTGCCTGAAGATTCCGAGAAATGTACTCACACATAGTAGGATGGTTAATCCCAAATGAGTCGACAACCTGTGATATATGTTAGTGAATATGTTTACCAACTTATATAAACTGCACGTGAACATTTGTGCATATAAACCATAGAAGAACCTCAAGAATTCTGAACAAAATGAGAAAGTAAGGAAATATATTTCTTTAGTTAGATGGTTAAAAGTAATGGATAGGAAACACTGGTGGGGGGTTTCGTGCCACTTTGCATAAATCAAGTAAGTTTATGTGTAAGTTCAAGGGGACTCATGTTCCTGACACATTCAATCTCAACATTGGTTCTGGCCTTGATCATAGACCGGTCGTTCTAATCAGTTGTCAGAAATAAACAACGATTGAAAAGATCTTTAGTATCATAGAAGCACGAAACACACTGAAATTTATCATGGTGGACTAGTGAAATTGAAGATATAATGAATGTTGTAAATTAATGTAAAATGTGAAAGCCGATTCACGATCACCAGGCATGGTGACAAGCAACTTATTGATTATATAATGAAGGACACAGTTGCAAACCTATCCTAACCGTGGTAATTACATCGTCAGTCTATTACATCATTTTTGTAATTTTCTTCTTTCCTATTTGTATTTGCATCATCTATTTTGAAGTCATGACATAGTTTAACTGACTGATCTGAACTGATGTTATTCTTAATTGCTATTAATTTTTGTTCAACTGCTGCTATATATATTTTACGTAATCCATTCACCCACATCGAATCAACTAAAACATGCTCTTGTACATCTTTAGTACATTTCGAAATCTGTAAGGATACTCAAAATAGCCGAATCTTTGTCTATAGAAACATATGGAATTATCTATTCCACTTCCACTAAATTAAATAGCATATCGCATATATTTATCTTCTTAAAATAAATCAGTTTACTGACTGTGTCGATGGTTGAATCAAGTCTTTAATATATAGTAATCGAAACAAGGATGAATAATCGATTCTAAGTATACCGTATAAAATGATATCCGAATCATTCCTGTTGACGTCGTTCAGTCAGGTAGTAATTGTTTCAACAGTAAATAATCAAATTGATGACGAATACTGAATTGAAAATAATCTTATTGAGAATTTTCCTGACACCCCTTAAAGAAATTTGTGAATCTAAATAAAGGTAATTATCTGGTCACACATAAATTCACAATCTATTATCATTCATCTAAAGAATGATAATAATAAGCCGAATTTTATATGAAAGAAGTTTCATTAAAAAATATGCGACTGGTACCACAGATAAGCACAATAATACGGTCAGTATATATCTGTTATTATTTAATCAATCTGATTGGTTAGATATTACATTCAATTCACTTTAAATTCGTGTACAATTCAATCGTCACATATCAAACATAGACTCAACATCAAAGTCACTTCACCGTATTCAAACACAATGAAAGAGACAGTCGGTTCACGGAGAAAATTATGTATCATCAACAAACGATTGGATGGGAAAATGGCAATCGTGACAGGATGTAACACTGGAATCGGTCTTTATACAGCCAGTGAATTAGCTCGTCGTGGTGCGACAGTCATTATGGCATGCAGAAATACCGAACGAGCCAACAAAGCTAGAAACGTCTATTGGAAATGTATGGTAAGAATAATGAGAAAAGTGGAGAAACAGATACTGCATGTAGTCAAATGAAGCCATATTTAAAGCCCATCGAGTCGGATCAGGTATGCCAATACTGAATTAGTCATATTCTCTTCGAGTTATTTGCATGTTATTAGAGTGTGTGTTTGTGGAGATTGTTTTGTTCGCAGGCGGTTTACATAACAAACTGTCATCAACTCGAGAACCACTTATAACCGATTTGTACTCAACAATTGCTTAATACTAACCTCAGATTAAACACCGCAACGCTCACTCTAATATTCATAAACGTCTTTCAGAAAACATGATTGCTACTGACTCCATTACGTCTGCAAATAACACTAAACTAAGTTTGCAACATTTTGTGATATTTTATACACTATATTCATTAGTTGAGAAAACACTTTCGAATGAATGCATCTGTTGATTTGCCGACACATCGTTAACACGGTTATTAATATTATTATTATGGCTTCATTCAATATTATATTCTTGGTACAATATAGAATTCCCAGCACAAAATATTTCAACAAATTTCCTTTTCTCATTTCTTGGTCGATCCTGCCGACAAATCAATCAAACTGTTCATGTTGGTAATGATAGACTTGTCGAACTAATCTACTCATTACATTGTCTCTATTGGTGCAAATATATATCATACAGCCAACGATCATCCAAGTATTTAACAGGTCATAATACATTGAAAACTCACTTTCCTCAATCCTTGAAATCAAATATTATAATACCCGAATAAGGATAAAACAATAGTTAGATTCATTATATTTCACGGTTCCTCGTCGGTTTCTTACAATTATATATGTAGTGAAGTATAACATTAAGATATGATACAGTATGAAATGATCGACACTAATGAAAGAAAACGAAATGAGAATAAATAAATACATAAATATACTTCACTACATATATGGTTGTAGGGAGCTGACGAGGAATTATGAAATACAATGATTTCATATAATTCTGTTTCAATTGTTGTTCAGCCTTTATTCAAGTTCGTAAACGGAACCAAATGCATGAAGTATATTGTCCCGCCATACTATATTCAGATTTTATTGAAACAGTGGAGACAATGTGTTTAAGAAAGATTCTCATCAATTTTCTTCTTCCATAATATTTCGATTTTATTCCAGTTGATCATTGAACAACTTGATCTGGCTTCGTTAACATCAATCAGAGAATTTGTTGACAGAATCAAAAGTAAATACAATAAAATAGATTTTCTCATCAACAATGCTGGACTCATACTACAGAACTATACAACAACTGAAGATGGTTTTGAAATGACAATGGGAGTGAATTATTTTGGACCATTTCTACTGACAGAATTGTTGTTACCATTGTTGAGGAATGCTGCACCATCACGAATAATAAATGTGTCATCTGCACTGCATAAAGATGGATGCATTCTAAAACCTGATTTGCAGTACAGTAAGGAAAATTATAATGCAATGAAGGCATATAGTGTATCGAAATTGGCAAATGTGATACATACTATTGAATTGAATGAACGTTTGAAAGATAGTGGTGTGGTGGCTGTCTGTTTACATCCCGGAGCTGTCAAAACTGAATTGATGAGAGATCTGACAAATTTTCCTATGGTGAGATATTCTAATACTTTTACTTATCATTTGATGTTGGTGTTTAATTTAGTGCAATAGCAAAATTCATTATAAAATAATCGTAATATGCATACTGATGTAGAGATTTTATGTCAAGTGAACCTAATTTCTACCGTAATTTCTGCTTCGATTTGAAATTACGATAAAATTGATTAATATGACGATCATGATGAACATGAGATTGTTCACATATAAACCATCAAGTTGGTTGAAATAAAGTGGTTAATTGTTTGTCGATCTGAACATTACGATCGATTTCCAATAATTAGATGAAGTGGGTATTAATGTTACTCAACAATGAAATACATAGGACAATATCTTGGTATGTTTCCGATATGTATATTTGATATATCGGAGGAATATATCAAAATTACGTTCTTTTACTCATTATGATTTTTGTTCAACATTAATTCCGTTTTAAGTCAATGTGATGGTTTCTCATTGTAGTATTTGTTTTGTTTTCCCGTATGATATTTTCTTCTGTAAAACTATGATAATTAGGAGTAATTGAATTACAGTACAAACTAAAAATCCTATAAATAATGTAATTTAAGCAAGGAGTACTAGATGAGCAGAAACCATTGTGTTGTATTTGGAATTCGAAATCAGCCAGTCAATAAGTACAAAGGAATCATTGTTCATACAAACAACACAAATATATACGATATTCTTGTATTAAATTAACATGAACTAGGCTGAGCATGACATGTAGCATATGATTTGTTATATCTGTAAGTATTATTCATATATGTGATTTCATCCTAATTATTAATCAAAATGGGTGTATGAATCAATATATAAATGATTGCATTTTCGACTAGAGTCGTCGTTATCGTGTTTTGTGATTAGTAAATTTTCATTTGTACCAGTCTTTGTGCCCTTACTTTCACGTCGTCGGAATTACAGTGGCTCCTCACTTTACAAATATAAGTGATGGTCGATTCTTACATAGCAATCAGAGACGACCAGATAAAACAAAGCAACGTTCAATCGAAAAGACTTGTCAGTGGCGACAAGAAAGCCACAATGAATATATCTTGGGACCAACTAGAAGTATATATGGAACATCAAGAGAAACTGTTTGGACAGTCACAGATCAGAATCATGGAAGCCATGGTTCAGAAAATGTGCTTGTTCCAGAAAAACCCCGCTTCTGATGAATTGCAAGTATCGCATGCTGATTCAGTCAATAATGCCATCCATGAATTTAATTTTGATCGTATAGTAGGTGTTACTTTTGACTCTTGGTTCAAGGAATATGAAGATTTGTTCCATATTGATCTCTGCAGATTGAACGACGCCTCAAAAGTCAGACTGCTTTTAAGAAAAAATAGGATGACGGAACATGAGAGCTTCGGTAACCTTATTTTTCTAAAGAACCCACGAGCCTTTAGTTTTGATTACACAATAAAAACCCTGTCTCAAATCTTTGGAGAACAGTCATCTCTATTTATTATTCGTTAACAATCCTTGAAGATAACGAAAGAACAAGGAGATGACTGGATAAATCATGCAGGAATTGTGAGACGAGAATGTGAAAGGTTCACGTTGTCTTTCATAACAGAAGACCAGTTTAAATGCCTAATATTTGTCTGTAGCCTGCGTTCTCTCGAAAATGCCGAAATCCGAATGACAATACTAAGCAAGCTCGAACATTGTCACAACATGACCAAACAGGAAGTAGCTGCTGAATGACAAAGGTTGGTGAATTTGAAGGACGATACCTCGATGGTAGAGAACGGTAATCCGATACTTCACATAAACGCACACGAGAGAAACGTTTTACAAGGTTCTAGCACGCAGAATTACCGTCATGACAGTGGCTAAACTTTATGTCCATGCTGATCATGTGGTGGCTGGTATTTCAAAAGGTTTCGTCCGTTTAAAAATCATCGTTATACTGTTATATATATATAGTTTCAACAAAACTTTGTAAATCATTAGCATTTATCAATATACAGACTGTAATATGTATTATTCACCTCATTTATTTTAGAATATTATACTGCCATTCGTCCGCAAATTACTTAAAACACCGAGGGATGGCGCACAAACCACTCTATATACTGTATTAACAGATAATTTGTCTCCTGGAGGTTATTATTCAAATTGCACATTGAAAAAACCTTCAAAATCTGTTCAAAATGGGGAAGACAGAAAATGGTTTTGGAATAAAACATGTGAACTATTGAACATACAATGTGATAACTAGGTGTGAATGACTACTCAAGTGAACTGTGTAGACAGAATTCGGTGTTCATTTTGATGATCGTTTTGAGACAAATTCACCAATAAATCAGTTAATAGAATGTGATAATTTTCAATTTGGTGTTATTTACAATATGATTTCACTTTGTACACACTGATTTGAGTGAATGAAAGCGTTGCTCTTTTCAAAGAGTTAACAGTTTGTGTGTTTTCTGTTAGATTAATAGTTAGTTGACTGGATGGTGTGAGTATTGCATGAATAATTTGACGAGATGTGATTTTGTTTGTTGATGAACTGATCGACTTGAAAACAGTTTCCATCAGGGAATGAGATGAGTGGAAGAATCATTTTCACAAATGTTCACATCTCGATCTCTGTTGACATTCACCACATCACATGTGATCGAAGTCAGCACATCGACTTACCTTTCCAGTTTGATATTGACTGAATGAAAGAAAAGTGACTCTCACTCGAAAGGTTATACGTAACTGAGTACTACACATCTAGTCCGTTTCAACATCGTTCTCAATCATTCTTCACCAAATGATTCCTTCTGAGACCAATGCATATCTCGTGGACAACACAAATTATTCACTTTGTGTGAATACACATGATCAATCTCAAATGATTTTCTATGCGAAAATCTGCCATTCACCAATATTACTAAGTATATACGACTGTTGCGGGTATATTACAACAGTTGGTATTTCCGAGTGAACAATTATTGTTTGTATCTTGAAATATAAGTGACAACACACTGTTAATCGTCAACGAAGCACAAATGCCATTTCGGTTCACTGCACTCTGAATAGTGTTTATACTCGAATTATTCAGATTCGATACTCTTAGGCTCCTCATTGTGTTTGCTTTCCTCTATCATATAATAAGGACACTCCGAATACTTAGATAAATCTTCAGTTGACTCCTCTTCTGAAATCTACCTCCCCATTTTCTCTAGAATTGATCATGTATACTTGGTCACTATTTGTTTATGACCAAAGTCCTTAGGTGAATTGTGGCTAAATATTGATGAAACAGTGATCACCAGTCACTATTATTAAGTTGTGAAGCACAATCGAGAGTAATGAGACTACTGACGAAGTGTTTATCATTGTCATCAGTTAGATGGTATCAACGAAGAGACCAATATAGACGAAATAGAGGTTCGAGCGGTACGATTGTTGTATTTACCCTATTGAAATAGTTTATCCTATTAGACACAGCTGTGATCAACTGTTATTAAATCCACAGATTCATGCAATATGAAATCCGCATTTCTCACTATACAGTCAATCAACTATCGAGTATTTGTGATCTGTGCATGTATTACACATTCACACAATGCTTCACACCCATTAAGTAAAACAGAAATTGCAGTAGTGCAGTAATCTCTTGCTGTTCTTCGTACTCTGCAAGTTGTCAGCATCTACACCAAACAGATCTGTGCTCGCTGAATAGTCCTTGTTGGTGAGAAAGCAATCATGTACGAGTTGAGTAGTTGGACAGTGAGACGATGAGAACGACAACTTCAGAACTACATACGTAACCAAACAATCATTGATGTTACGATTAAGTTGTCATTACAGACACCAATAAACGAAGCGTGATGATGGATGATACATTGGCTTGAAAGCCTGTAGGAAGTTAAATCTTTGGTCATTGTTGGAGCTAGTCGTACAGACAGAAAAACGAGATGAATTGTAGATAAATAATCATGAAACAGTGATCACCAGTCACTATTATTAAGTTGTAAAGCACAATCGAGAGTAATGAAACTACTGACGAAGTGTTTATCATTCAGTCACCAGATAGATGGTATCAACGAAGAGACTAGTACAGACATAATACTGCACACACAGAGCAAAGTGAATCACAGAAAGACCACGATCAAACGCGTCGACATGACAAAACCACAAAAAATGCAGGTAAAACATAACACGGGGTCGAGTGATGATAAATATTAAATAATACGGAAAATCACTATCAGGTGAACGATCTGCCACACAATAACCAACTTCTATCCAAGTGATCTGGGGTCACTCAGAATCCAGTACGATTGTTGTATTGACCCCATTCAATAAGTCAACCCCATCCAACACAGCTCCGATCAACAGTCGTCACATCCACAGATTGATGCAATATGGAACCATTGTCTCACAAACCAACACAGAATTATTTTGGTCAGAGAGTGAAACTGTTCTTATAAAACCTCATTAACAAATCAGTCATCTGAATCGAATTCATCGTAGGCACCATCAGATCTGGTCACAGAGACCACATTGGTAATTGAACTGACGGCTAAAATGCATGTGAAATTCACACCAGTGAATAAAATTAAGTTCAATAAACTTAATTTTGCTCTTAACGATAAAGAAATATTTGGATGATGAAATTTAACTTGAAAGTTCGATGAATTATTTTGTTGACTGTTGAAATATGAGTTTAATGATTGAAGATTTATCACACAGATTGTTTTAAAATAACCCATAGTGTCATTGAATAAGAAAAAGAGAATTCAGCGAAGAAAATTTTCTTTTCGACGAAATCATTTACTTAAGCTGTATATTCGTATATATAGTTTTATATGGAAAATATAGGTCTATAGGAGGATAGAAAAGATTGCATCAAGAAGATGGATTCTAAAATAAATAACAAGTGAGGTTACGTACTAATCATGGGGTAAGGAAGAAAATAATTTATGGGTCAGATAATAGTCCACTTGACAGATATGAAGAAAAGCGACATACACAAGATCATATTAATAGACTGAATAACATCAGAAGGGTTGTGTGGAGAAAAAAAAAAAACTCTATTTATGAATATGGAATTTAAGGGAGATACAGCTGCTGAAATCCTAAATAAACGGATTTCGAAATCAATTAATAAAACATTCCACGCAGCTAAGCTTCGAATCATCTTCTCAAGCCGACCTACCATTCTGGGGTGTGTTAAGGACAAAATTTCGCTTTGGGCCACTTCAATGTGTATCTATAAATTTACTTGCTCATGTGGGGCATGTTACATAGGCCGCACAAAGCGATCATTATCCAAACGCATCTCGGAACATTATCCGGCTTGGCTTTTGAAAGGGGAGCGAAAAACAATCACAAGTTCCATACAGGAGCACTTAATCAACTGTGGACATATCGCTCCAAAAGACTCTTCGTTTAAAATAGTTTACAGAGTCAAAGGAACTGGATCGAAGGGGGTTCGAATCAATATTTTATGCACCGCAGAGGCATTGGCAATCCACAAACTAAAGCCTGAACTTTGCGTGCAGAAACGATTTGTCCAACCTCTTATCCTTCCCTGGCCCTAATTCCCTTTATGGGTATGTTTCTAGGTGTTTTTTTTTTTTTCAATGCACTTTTATTATTACTATTTTGCACTTTAAACTCTAATCATTTATTATTATTACCTTTTACAAGTTTTCTTGATTATCATTCACTCTATTATTATGACCTTTGTTGTTTTGACGTTTTTCTTCATATCTGTCAATTGGACTATTATCTGACCCTTAAATTTTGTTCTCCTTACGTTAACCTCATTTGTTATTTATTGTCGAATCCATTTTTTGTGTGATACAATCCATTCTATCCTTCTATAGACATACATTTTCCATATCTAACTATATATACGAATGTACAGCTTAAGTAAATGATTTCGTCGAAAAGAAAATTTCTTCGCTGAATTCTCTTTTTCTTATTCAATGACAGATTGTTTTCTTCAACTTCAGTCAAGTTCCATTCAATCTAAAACAAACATGGGAACAGGAACTACGTAGACCTAAAATTAACTACGACATAAATTATGACATTATTGCTATGTCTATTTTACGTTCTCTGTCCTTACTCACTTTCCTTCGACTCTTTTGTGTATTGTCTTATACTACTTTTCAATATTCAGTAAATAGTTGCATTCCTAGCAATTTCTACACGTACTCATGTTTGTTGTGTAATATTCCAAAATGTTAACATTTACTTTAATTTTGTATTTATCATTATAATTAATTGATCTCAATTATTGTAGCAGTTATTCGCATTTTTATGCACTCATTTAACCCTTGTGTAAATCCAATAGTTCCCATATTGTTTGTCCTTGGTTCAGTATTTGTTTGTTGATAAACTGTTACCAAGTTTAGACACTGCTAACAGCTGTCATTTGCATTATCATATGTTGTAGTTATTTTATACGCTACTGTTACAGGAAGCCCTCTTATTTCACTTATGGATGCGGGAAACGCAACGGCTGTATCGTAAAAACTGCGGATATGATGACGGTTTGAGTTCGAGTATGGAAACTTAATTGTAAGAAATTGCAGGTGTTAAAGCCTTGAGGATATTACCATGTTTATGTATCGAGCCTCTTATTAAAAGATCGATATCTGATGCCTCAGAAAGCGGTGATGAAGCCGTAGCTTATATGAGATCACGCAAGTACAACGAGATGTTTCATCCTGGACAAATACAGAATAGTTCCTCTAAAACTTGTTCCTGTTCCACGCCTTGAATTGAAAGCTTCAGCTTTGTCAGTGAAACTGATGAGACAAATAGTGGAAGAAATAAGGCTGGAACATTTGACTGAAATCTACCTTTGAACTGACGTGATGTAAAGATCGAGGTTGTATAAGAACAAATATAAGGACGCTGAGGAAATTCGGAGGCGTCTTACCGATCACTTTATTGAACTTAACGAAGCGAAGAACGTTCAAGAACTGCAGAAGTGAAGAAAATACTGTTGACTGAACTAGATTAAACCTCACACTTGAAAAAAGGCAAATTGATACTTCGGATCACGTTAACTAAGGCACAGTTATCCGTGATATGTAGAGTTATTTTGGTCATGTATAACACGTTTACCAACCACCTCAGGTTAATTTGCCTAATTTCCAAATCGCTTTCGACATTATTCCGCAACACTGTGGGCCTAAACTCAGTATTTCTCACTATACAGTCAATCATCTGGACTCGTCACTTATCCGGCATTTGTGATCTGTGCATGTA